CCAATAACAAGCATAAATTGGGGATGGTTTAGTAAAATTAGCTTTACATGGGTTTACCTCATTTTCTGCCTTGAATGATGCTATTTGTCCATTACAAGGGATGCAATCGTTGCTGCCAGTGTATCCAGTTGAAGTGCGTCAACGTCACCAAAGCCGAGGTGTGAGTCTGATCGGCCCCTCCTGGGGTGGTGGTTTCTACAAGTGGTTGGAGCCTTGTGTGTCAAAAAGGGCCCAATGGTTGGACCGCATTTAGCATCCCAAAAAAAGACGCCCAGCATTCCCAACATTTCGGCCTTTCCCATTCAATATGATCTCCAGAATTCTACAAGTAGTAGTCCAACCCCCGCCTTCCAAAAGATTGGTGGTGGATGATTGTTGGTGTTGTTGCGCTCATTTGGAAGGCGTCTAGGATCAGAACAACCGCTCGCCTGTTTTCCAAGGGATGCAGATGATGTTCGAGCTGCAGTGGAAAGGGTTTGGCCCTGAGTTCCGGCCGTTGATGTTTGGTATGTACAGAGTGCCGACTTGACATTTTGATGGCCGTGGCGGGGTCACTGTCAGTAGCAGTCTAAATGACGATTCCTTCTCCACAATGTGAGGGACAATTCACCAACCACTATGGGCGTAACGCGCTGCTCATGCCATGTTATATGTTAACATTCACTATTATAGTATAGCCTTAGTAAACTGGAGTCGACAGTTGTTGACATGGGTTTTGGTTAGCTAGGAGTTCCCAGACTTTGTTGCCGCAGTTTGCTGACTTCATGTCAATATAGAAAACATTTTTTTGGATGTTTTTGGAAGGCATAAACTTCGGCACACTACCATCAGAACGCCCAGGGCTGAGTTGTAGAACGCTTATCACACAGCAGGACGTTGGGTCCGGGGTGTTTTCACCAAAATTGGTGATATAATCAATGTGGGCAGGTTTGCACATGGAATTCTGGGGTATCCATATATAGATACTAGTCGCTTCCACAGGCAAGACATGGCAAAGTTGAGACAAAGGAGGCCCAGGAGCCGCAACAGCCGGCTGAACGATGCAAAATGATGCAAAAATGACCCCATTCAAACAACATGAAACCATTGATCATATCAGAATATGTCAGGATAGCGGAAGCGCAATGTGTTGTTTGTTCCATACAACTGCATATGGGTGTCCATCATAGTATGGTGTCAATATGTTGTGTTTGACTTTGATTTCCCCCAACAAATAAGGAATGTGGTATATTCATGCATTGAGTTTGGCAGGCTTTGGGTGTGCATGTGTCATCTTTAAGTGGGCCAATGAATGCCACATTTTGGCTCAAGTGGGAGCTGAGACCCAAAATAGCATTCATTTTTTCCTTTCTAGGTCTAGGAAGGGGTGACCTTTCTTGACCTCTTCTGTTCCAGGGGTGACCTGGATTCGCACGAGGGGCGACCTCGTATGCTGCATGAGTTATACCGAGCATTGACATCCCTGCTGCCACCGAGGCCGACATCTTCCACGCAGCGGCATTCCTGGAGTTCAAGCAGGATGTGGAGAGGCTGGCAAGGGAAGGCCATGACTTGGCTGCCTGCACATGTTTGGCAACTGTGGACAACATGCTTTCCTGATCCACGCACGCTTTTCCCCGCCTGGTTCATCGACCCAAGATTCTTTCCTCGGCCTCCCAGGGCGCGACCCTGGGCGGCTCTTGGGGCAGCTGGATCTCGTGCCCACGTTCCCTTTGCGGATGGCTGGAAGCCCAATGGCACCTTGGCGCTGGGCACTGGATCGATGCTTCGTATGTGGAGATCCCACCACGCGTGCTTGGTGGGCCTGTTGTGGGACATTAATCCTGTTTCCCATGGAGGCACCGGTGCACCAACAGTGGGGAGAAACGGAAGATGCTGGTGGACCCACGAGGGTGTCAGGGTAGCTGCATGCCACTACGCAGCAGCATTTTTTTGCTCTCCGCACCTTAACGATTTTGTTAGGATGCGCTACCATGGCATCAGGTGGCAAAGGCTACTATGCGGCGCAAGCAGCTTCTTCCTCCTCAAGATTGGAACGCTGCTGACTCCCTTCGCCAGATCGCAGTGAAGCAGAGGGCCTGCAAGACGACAACGACTTCGCCTACGCCTACCTCGACTACGACCATGGTAGGGTTGCAGGCATGTGGCTGATGATTGGCTGCAAACCCGGGCTAGAGTCGAACAAGGCCTATCAGCCGCTGGAGCTCGGGTGGTTGAGGGCAACCCCAAGGGTCTTGCCCTGCGCCCGGTGAAGAAGACCATCCTCAAGAAGAAGCCGAAGACGATCAACGTTGAGAAGAACTACAGTGAGGCCACTCAGAAGCGCATCAATGGCCCGATCTCGATGTGCCAGGGCATGGGATCCTTCAAGCCGGCAGGCATCCTCACTGCTGCCCTGCGTGCTGGATGGAAGCAGACGTGCAGGAAGATTGCAGAGAAGAAGGTCCAAGATGCCGAGAAGGCCAACAGTCGAGCGCGTCGTGAACACGTGGTTGGAGCTGCGATCCTTCCTGGAGAGTCGAGGGCGACCCGCACCTCCAGAGGTGGTGGATTTGGACCAGTTCCTTCAGCATACCTCTTATTCTGCACCAGCTCCTGCCCGAGATGGATCTGAACAACTTGCAAGTGCCGGTCACGCCCAGGGCGACTGGGCCTCGTGGCCAGGCTCCGGTTGCAGAGACCCCACTCATAAGGCCCTCGAGGACAGGATTGTCGAGTTGCACGCTGTCGGAGACGAACGACGGACAGTGCTGCTGGCTTCTGTCTGGGTGCTTGCGCTACACCAGGTCGGAGCCAAGGCGATTGACCGCGGCCTTCATGCACTGCAGGAGCACGTTGCAAACATCAAGTTTTTCGCCACGACATTGAAGAACTCTCCCAGTGGCCAGTGGCTAATAGTCACCATGTACATGACCCTCAAGACTAAGAGTGGGTGCCGTACACGTGCCAAGGGAGTATACCCATCTCGGGAAGAGGCCGAGTATACAGCCACATCAGCCTTCGCCATCGCAGTCTCAGTGAGCTGGTGGGCGACGCGAGGCGGATTGGCCAAGTTGGGCCCACATGCCAGCCTTCACGGCAGTGGGAAGGAGAGAGCATTGGCTCGACTTGGCTCCTCGAGCCCTTCGGGAATGGGCCACCTTGGGCCTGACCGCAGCTCTGCAAGAGACCAGGCCGTGCTGATGTCATGGTTGCTAAAGACTCCCTGCAAGACGGTACAATCTATGTTGGAAGGGGCAGCTTCCACCACAGATTGTCCACCAGTAAGTGGAAATCACCATGGACACCAAGCCGCAACTGCGAAGCTGGCGAAGGTTATCCAAATATATCAGCCACATCAGGACCTCCAATCTATGGGAAGCTTTGCCCGAATTGGCCTTGCGAGGCTGACTTGCTTATCGGCTTTTACTTTGATGCAACAACCCCGGGTGCTAAGCTCGACCGTCGAGGCGCTGACGGCAGTTGGACCCGCTCAGTGGCCTAAGGCATCCAATCTATCCCTCGCGGCATGTCACTCCCAGTGATGAGGTAGGAAGCTTTGGTGCTGGCGTTCTGCAAGCTCTTCCGTGCAAGTGGAAGACTTCATCCACAGCCCACCGTTCAGTACCTACCAAGCTTGGTTGGCTGAGAGAGAGGTGAAACATGGGATGGGCCGTTAGTCCCGCTATTTGGCGTCAGGAGCCATCCGACAGATGTGGCAAGGATTGGCGATGGATGCCAGGTCGGAGCTATGACACACCATGCAGCTCTATACCCCCATGGCTGCCATTCAACCTGGAGCCAGATGAACACTGGCACTACAACGAGCCCAACAACCATTGCCCCATGAGGACATTCCCGTCACAGACATGGACCTGCAGTTCCTGGCATCAGGCTACAGTTAAGATGGCCAACCATTGCGACCTTGGCGACGACAAAGCTCAAACGTCGATGGTAGGGGGTGACCCTCCACCTCGAGGAGCTTCCAGGAACCTGCCCAACAAGTGATAAGACAGCGAGATGTTGGATTCATTTCTGTTTTGCTGATCTTGACCTCATGGGCTGATACCGGGTTTCCCTATGGTTTGGTGAAAGGATTCCCAGTATAGTGGGCTTCGCGCCGCCCTATGGGATCTTCCCACGATCTTTTCACAACAGCCTACGCAGCGCATCACCCTGCCAGAAGTGATGGACGGCTGGGAGGAGCACAACCAGAAGATCCTTAACCAGTTGAAGCCCGGCAAGGATGACGCCTTCCTGCTGCAGCAATCACTGGAATACGCAACCAATGGTTTCTGTACGCCCCCACTTCGGCGCAAGGAGTTCTTGTCCTACATCACTGGTCAAGCCCATAGGCTGATTCCAAGGCGCGTGATCACCCAGGTAAACAGCGTGTGATAGACAAGGGCGACACTGGCGGACAGTCCGAACGGTCGTCCGGTGCCAACAAGCTGACTTTCTGCAGCCCGTTGGGACCAGCGCAGCACATCAGCTTGGTCATGCACCTCTGGTCTTGTGAAGACATTCAGGAATTTTGCCGACATGATGCCTGGGAGACAGGCCAAGAAGACTTGCCATCGGCGTATCACTATTGCTTGGGATGTGTTGTGGTTTGGTTTCATGGAGAATGGCAAGAACCGGCATACCAGGTTTATTCTGGCCTCCTTTTTGGACTACCTCTTGCTGTGACCTCCTTCAACCGCTTTTCTCAGTTGGTGGAAGCGCTGTCACGGCGCGTGTGTCGCTATACTTTGACGATGCCACAGCTACCGACCTCAAGTCGTCCAAAGGTTCAGGGCAATTCGTCGTGAACCAGTTTTTTTTTGGACAACGTGGCGGCAGTGATGGCCTTAGCGAGAGGGTGCTCTAGCAATCCCGACGTTGCGAAGCTCGGTCATCTGATTCATCTAGCCTTGTTGCCTTGCGGGCCCAGGGCTACTGGGAATACGCCCAGAGCAAGAGCAATTGGGCCGATGATATTTGTAGATTAGGTGGTTTTGATGACCCACGGTGGCGCTGCC